ATTGGAGAAGAGGGGAATGAGGCATCTGCGCCGCTCCCACAAAGCGACGACCGTTGGAACGCTGACAGAAGCATCTGTCATGCCCTGCCTTCACACACTCACCTGCTGTCCAAGGGCCTGACTCTGTCTGTCTGTATCCATCTCTTCTTCATCCCTCTTTTTTCTCTCCTCCATCCTGCCCATCAAAGCTTTCCTAGTGAATGTGTAAAGCTCCTGTTAAAGGTGTATCTCTTTCCTGTGTTCCCATGAGAAAGATGTTGATTTCTGCTGTTAATTTTCTTTTAATTTGGGTACTTTTTACTTTAAGAGTGTTGTCTCTAAACACACACATAAAGGAGGGTGTTTTCTTTGCCAAGTTAACGTCAACTAAAAACCAAATTTATGAACAAATACGACTTCTGTGTTAATGAATGTACTGACCTGTCTTGTGACTACTTTATCATCCTCCAGTGGCATCCACGTTCGTTCCCCAAACATGCTGAAGGGTTGCCAGCAGAAGGGGGAAAGATGCCAATCCATGTGTATGACACACACACACACACACACTCAAGCTCAAGGACACCATCGCTCATTCAAGTCCAGAGAAGGTGCCCTTCAGTTGATGTCACAGCAAATTTTTTCACAAAGTTAAAAAAGACACACAAAGAAATTAGAAATTAAATTTATATTAGTTTTAATGATAAAAAAGTGCTACATGTGAATGTATTTCACTTGGATTCATAAAGGAGGTCTCACATTTAAATTCAACCAACTTTCTAGAAAGTATTTATTTAACTTTCAACTTATTCAGAACTTGTATAATTTGGATTTTTTTTTTTTGTCCTTGAATCCTTTAATTCCTTGCATTACTTGAAGGAATCCCCCGTCGATGTCACAGTTTTAAAGCAACACTTAATAAGTTTCTCGCTTCTTCTTCTTCTTACTGGTTGAAAGTGGAATTACAACTGTTGTACACAACCCTGCCACAGTCTGTTGTAGCAAGTGCTAACAAAGAGCTAATGCTAACACAAGTCAATTTATACTTAAATGAGCCATAAGTAAAAAATCCACACTGTTGTACAAAAAATTATAAGTAGCAACAAAGCCAGGTCACCATCAGTCCGTGATTTTGTAGCCTCCTTTAGCTTCCTCAAACGAGTGTAGGCCGTGTCGATTTTCACTCTGGTTTTAGAATGTTGCTTTACCTCAAGAGACATTACTCTCTTCCTTACTTCCAGGCACCACCATGAAGCCAAAAAAAACAGCTATACTTCTCCTCCTTTTTGTGCTTTTTATTGATAATCGGTTAACTGAAGAGGCTAACTGCTAGCCTTTATATTAGCTATGGGCACTGTTAACAGCTATTGCTTTGAAACCGATAACTAAGTGTGGTTTCTCGTCAGCAGAGGGCTGCAGAATGCTGTACAATCTGAAGTTGGTAAGGTTTCTAAAAAACTGTTTGAATGCGTAGTTTAAAGTGTTAAAATATCCTTAGTGTTGCTTTAATTAGCTCCTACTGCTGAGAAACCATTTTTTACACATTATTTTTGAGCGCACGGACCGTATTGGTGGTGTGGCGTGAGAGCATGTGAAGAGGGGGAAATGTGTGTCGCACGCTCAGTCCGTGCGTTTGCAGCCCTGCCCATCTTCACTCATGACAGAGAGGGCTATTGTTGGTTTAGCATTGGGGAAACAGCAGAGAACAACTGAGTAGAAGCTAGCTATTAGCATTTGCAACTCCACAACATAGCAGAACTCCTTCAGGCTTGTGTTAAATATGGAGATAAAACATCAGCTTTGCAAAACAAACAGAGTCAGTGGTAGAGTTGGGTTGCTGTTAGCCAATCCAATCCAAATATCAGGAAATAAGAGTCCAAATCCTCCCGTCTGGATCTCTTTTCTCCTCTGGCTGAATTGTCTTTGCTGAGACTGCATGGACGTAATTGGGGGGGGGGGGGGGGGGGGGGGGGGGGGGGTCATACCCCCCCCCACACACACACACTTTTTCCAAAGTCAGCTTTTGACCCCTGCACTTTTTACCATCCAAAAACAATGTTACACTATATTAAATTGACACTGGTTGAGCTCTAGGCCCAAGTGGAAAACAACCGTTCGTGTTGAAGCCTGTTTCCCATTAGGGCATACTGTAAAGATACCCCCCCCCCCCCCCCCCCCCCCACACACACACACACACACACACACACCCCTCCATCCCTCCCCGTGTCCCCCCCACTTCTAAAGCGAAAATGACGTCCATGTGAGACTGGCGCACAGAAGACGGCGCTGCAGCAGGGAGTTGATTTTGAATAGCACTGGTCGTACATGAAATCCCCCAGCATGAGCGAGGACTCTGAGAAGAAGGGAGGCAGGTTAACAAATGAGTGAGAGAGGATGGCAGGACTCTGTGGCCCTTGGAGACAGAGTGGGTTGGGATGTTCTGACACAACCTCATCTGCCAGGGTGAAGGATACACATTCATATCCATGCACACCCTGTCATCTCTCTACAGCTCCATCCCTGGCCTCTGCAATGGCTGTGGGTCTAAGCAGGAACCCCTCTAAGCTGGCTGGGGTCCAACACCAAGGTCTCTCACCTCACAAGCTGGGTAAGGGACTTGGTTGCTCTTGTGAGTTATTCTTGGATGTGGACTGAAGTTCCACCTCTTTTTTTTTGTCTCATCCACCTTCCTCTGTTCCAGTGCTGCCTCTTCTTTTCTGTTATCCCTCTCCCTGGGACTCTTTGGATGGTGTGTCTGTCCTCCAATTATCACTATCAGCATTTATTGTCTTTACCGCACTCACACTTCCTGATGCTTGTGTATAATTGTGAGCACAAATATCAAGGTCACCATCAATTATCTCAAAAATCTGCATAATTGTAGCAGATGGGAGGCCTTCAGAAGGTGTTGATGAATAAAAGAGTGTTTATTCTTAAGTCTGATCATCTCAAACTTTTCTTTGAGTTTTATTTTCCTTTACTGTATAAACAAACACTCAAGAGAATGATACAGTAACTATAATCCTCTGATTAAACATTCAAAGATCAATCAAATTGATATTTCATATTTATATGGAATCATCACATCTTATTGGTCATAATTAATTTGCAGTCGTTGCGCTATACAGTGTGACCACTACAACTGTCATAAAGGAAGAAAGTATTTAATTATTAATAATTAGTGGAACACTGAACGATTCTGAGAAAGATTTATTCAATAGGTAATGAAATTAAAAAGAAAATGAATACATTATCATATTTTAAGAAAAAGCAACTGATAAGGTTAACAATATTTGATGAATAACCAGGTTCCTCTTTTTCTCAAAGAGCTTCCTTCAATCCTCCACAATAAGAGTCTGAAACATGCACACATAACTCAAAACAAAAGAAACTTATGAAGCTGTTTATTATCATTTTGTTTCTCTGGTAAAACTTATTTTTGCGTATTGTATCTAGCAAAACACTTTGTTTACTAATTATGTAAGGAGGAAAGCTTTTGTTAGGCACTTTTTGTGTATCTTATGTTGCTCCTTTGACGATTGATTAAAGAGGTTTTGGAAACATAAAGAGATGAAGAATAATCAAGGCAACATATTTTCTGATAATGTTAAACAGAAATTCTGCACTTTGGGTGTTGTGCTTCCTTTTGACCACTAAGGGTCGCTAAAAGTAAATCATTATCATCAGAAAGTCCAGTTTTTCTTACCTCTGGGGAAAAAATCTAAACCTAAATTATTGAAAATATATATCTACATTGAATAAAAATGGCATTTTTACTTGGATGCAAAAAAATTATATACATACATACATACACACACACACACACACACACACACACACACACATATATATATATATATATATATATATATATATATATATATATATATGTATGTATGTATACACACACACACACACACACACACACACACACACATATATATATATATATATATATATATATATATATATATATATATATATATATATATATATATATATATATATATATATATATATATATATATGTATGTATACACACACACACACACACACACACACACACACACAAAATTTGACCTCCAAATGTGACCTTAGAATCCTGAAATAGATGCTTGCCCAGTTTGTTGGAGTTTTATAGGCCTATGATAATTGCACCTGCTTTAATTTATTTAAGAGTAAAACAGAACTGTTGTCCTATCAAGGTCATGGATTTTAATAGTATAATATTTTTCTAGTGTTAAAAAAACGAAAATGGCATCACTCTCTTTCTCAGTTGTTGATTCACCACTCAACTCCCTGCTCCACTTATTCGCTAGATTTTTTTCACTGCCTACTCACTGCTGTCACTGCTTTTCTTATATTATATATATATATTTTTTTACATTCTTAGTGACTAAGAAAAAATATCGTACATGCTTCTATCATTCATAAAGATGCGCCATGCACGACCCCATTCTGTTGCAGAGTACAATCGTCAGCATCAATGACAAGAAAACATCGAATAGCAACAGAGGTATTACTCTGATGGTTCTTTCATCACACGGAAAGAATGGCACCTGCCATGGACATCCCCAAGATTGCATTGTTCAGCTAAATGTGTATTTTACGATCAATAACTATACTTTAGTCTCAACTGCGTTTGTTTTATATTGTAATATTGCTCGAGATTTCTTTTTTAACGAAAGTACGTATGTGAATGAAATGAAAAGTTACTTTCAATCCAACTATAGAAAAAGATTCCATTAATCCATCTTACTGCATATATGATCTTTTAGCAGGGAGACGATTCCAACTAACTTAACTCTTCAAAATTTCTTTTTACAGCTTTTAATAAAAATTAATTAAACTAAATACATAATAGGTGTGTATTCGGAGTGCATTAGCTTTTATTTCAATTACCTAAATTAAAGCTAATATTAGTAGTGAGAAGACCTCCCTGTACTTCCGTATTGAGATGGTAGCGTCCATCGACGTACTGCGCGGGAGCGGAAAACGTGCAGCCGTCTGTGCGGAAAAGGGAGAGGTGTGTTTTCATTGGGAATTATAAATGAATATACGTAACTTCATCTAAGATTCTGCTTTCTTATAAGACGTATCGACACAAAAGGTGTAGCTCAAGGAAACTGTGTAATTTTAATAGCAGCTAACGGCTATGAGCTATCTTAGACGTGACGTCAACTGATGCTGTTAGGCTGCATGATAACTTTGCTCTCACTTAGCAAGCTTTGACTTGTGTCTCTCCTACTTTTAACTGTGGGGAATTATACGTGGCGTAGTTAACGAGACTAAAGGAAAGTCGCGTTAACCATATTTACTGTTTTACAGCGTGTTATTACGTCCGCTATGACTCGAGACTGGAAGCCGGGTGATCTAATTTTTGCCAAGATGAAGGGATACCCTCACTGGCCTGCCAGAGTAAGTTTGGATCTTCAAACCCAAAATACATTCAACTGAAATGGTGTGTCATAACTGGAATCTTTGCTCTGACAGATCGACGAGGTGCCGGATGGGGCCGTGAAGCCATCCAACATCAAGTATCCTATTTTCTTCTTTGGGACCCATGAAACGTCAGTAACATCTTCTTTAGCTTAATAGGGTTACGTTACACCTGCTCAGACAAAGCCACGTGTAAAGTTTCATTTAAGAGTCAGTGACAAGGTCAGTTATTGGATCGCTGACACTTGTCTTCACCCTGAAGATGTAGAATAACATCATGAGAAGATGTTGTGGCAACGGTGTCAGATCAAGTTTACATGTAGCTGAGTGTCTTTATAAGGGGAGAAGTTGTAGGGGGCTTTAGTAGTTAAGAGGAAGCATCATTTGAAGATGTTATGTATGATCTTTAAGTGTGTTTAGACCATCATATCTACAACACTGAAAAGATGTTTGCTCCTTTATAGGTTTATCCATTTTTGCTCTTTTGTCACATTTAAACGAGCATGCAAATTTCTATTTCAGACAGATCATCGTCTTCTGTCCTTTGAGGGGTCACCACCATCGACATATAAATATTGGACAATGGGTTTCCATAGACTCCAATATCACATTTTTGAAGATAAATGGGAGGTGGCCACCACAGCCATTTTGACTATGTCACAGGTTCCGTCAAGCCCAGAAAATTCCATAAAAGGAAGAGAGGAGGAGCTGAGGGTGGGGCTGTAAGGCTGGGATCAACTGACGACACCTGGTCAAACTAGCTAGAAGCTAACCTGAAGCTAACCCAAAGCTAACGCGGAGGTGGGAGCTAAGCTAACGGAGGTAGCAACCTAGTTACAACCGGAATTAACTGTGCACAACACCAGAGCTTCTGAGTCAGAGATACGCCGGGCTGACCGCTGGGTAAAACCGGGTGGAACACAGAGGTCTCCGAGACCTCCACAAGCCAGCAGCCGCACAGCAGACAAGCGCCGCTGTGATCTGAGATGCGCAGAGCTGCCGCTGGGGAGAACCGGGTGGGAAGGTTTCCATCCCAGAGCTCCACAAGCCGGCAGCCCGCGCAGCAGACAGGAGCCGCGATCAGACAGAGATGCGCCGAGCTGCGGGGAGGGGAGAACCGGGTGGAAAACATCGGTCTCCCGAGAGCTCCACAAGCCGATAGTGGGAACCCAGCTCCACCAACATGTTATATTTCAACCCATTTTCTAAAGTGCAGCATTATGTTAAATGCACTGGGTTTTACCCTATTACATTTAAATTTCATGGTTAAACAGTACATGTTAAAATCTAAGCTCAGCTTGGCAGTGACCTAAAATACATAAATATAATTTTACTTACCGAACAAAATGAAGTGGAGACTCCTTGGATGCTCTATTAGTGCAATTAATGCCACAGCAAGTCATTTTGTCCAACAATTGCACAAAAAATATCCAAAAAAGAATACACACACACACAGAGACTCAAAATAACGGAGCAGTTTCCAAGCCAGACCGAGGCTCTACTGAGGCCTTTCCACGGAGCTAGCTCTGTGGTCACGAGGGTCTGATGCTCATTAACTATACAGAATTTTAGGCTTTTAATACACTTAAACAGAAGAGTGAGAAAAAAATTCACCCCCCTCAGAGTTGTCATGAGTGTAAACTAGATCATTTAAACAAAAAACATGTTTTGGTACCAGGCTGTAAACATGTTTATTTCTGCTGTGAAATTGGTATTTTTAACATGGGAGTCAATGAGGATTTGCTCGTTTCTGACACCAGCCCCCAGCGGATGAGGGTGGAACTGCAATTTTTGGTACTTCCGGGGTGGACTCAATTTCTGAGCCGCATTGTGGGGGCTTGATCACCACAGCAAATCACCTGTCTCCATTTAGTCCTGTCTTCTGCATCATCTACCCACACACCAACCAGGGGTCGATATTTACTGCTTTTTATATATCTGCATTCGCTCAATTTTGTTCTTAGTAAAGCCGATTGAGAGTCAGGCTATCCTCGGACAGCCCTGTGCTGTAGCAGGCAGCAGTAGCTCAGGAGGTTGAGCAGGTTGTCCAGTAATCCAAAGGTTGCAGGTTTGATTCCAGCTCCGGACAGAGAATTCTGAATTTTGCTGTTGTGTCTTCGCTGGTGGTGGTCAGAGGGACCGGTGGTGCCTGTGTTCAGCAGTCTCGCCTCTGTCCGTGTGCTCCAGGCCAGCTGTGGCTACATTGTGTGAATGGATGAATGATGCACTGTAGTGTGTCTGACTCTGAAAAGCAGGTGCGGATCATTTATCATTTAATTTAAATGTAGTTTTACATTCACTAATAGCATCTGCATAATAAATACTCTAAATTAACTTTTAGTTAATTCAGAGTTCAAAAACTGATTAAGCTTCAGACATTTTGTGCATCAGCTGATGTTTTTTGTAACATTTTAGCAAAATTGATTTAGAAAGTGAGGTGGAAAACATCTGGATATAGGCCATGAAAATTGACGCAAAAAATTGTCAGTACAAATCAGCCATCGACTTACCCGACAAATCGGTATCGGCAATAGAAAAACCAACGTCAGTCGTCCTCTAACTAGGGATGCACCGATGGCTCGGTATTTGATCCCAATCGGCCGATAGCACCCCTATCGGTTTTGATCGGAGTTTTCAAAATAGATCAAAGCAGACCAAGACCATTTTAGATTAGGTTACATTTCCTTTATTCCCAGATTATGTAGTTTGTAGCACTCATTATAATGTTGTAGAAAATTTCTGGCCAATCGACGTGATCGGTATGGGTGATCGGCAGCAAAAAACCTGATCGGTGCATCCCTACCTCTAACACCATCTAACTTCACGTCCTCTTTCAGCGTGTCATGAATCTCCTTTCTTCAGACCGGTAACCCAAGTAAATTCAAAATGCGATTTTCAAATTTTGATTTCAAACAATAATCGGCTGTAACACCAGCCAGTTATGGTGCCATTAAATTCTAAACGAGAATGTCCAGTGACTGACCTCAAACAGGCCATTAATAAATGGTAAATGGCCTGTATTTGTTATAGCGCCTTCTAGAGTCTTGGAACACCCCACCCCCCACCCCCAAGGCACTTTACAACACAATCAGTCATTCACCCATTCACACACACATTCACACCCTGGTGGGGATGAGCTACGATGTAGCCACAGCTGCCCTGGGGCGCACGAACAGAGGCGAGGCTGCCGAGCACTGGCGCCACCGGTCCCTCCGAACACCACCAGCAGGCAACGTGGGTTAAGTGTATCTTGCCCAAGGACACAACGACAGCGACAGACTTAATGCTGAAAACCCCTCCAGTGTGGCTGAATTAAAATAATTCTGTAAAGAAGAGTGGGACAAATCTGAAATCTGTGTTTATTCCTGTTCTTTTGATCAGATAGTAAAACGTGTTTGCTGTCCTGAAATATTTAATTGTGACTAAAAAAGCAAAACAGAATCAATCTGTAAGGGGATGAATACTTTTTCGCAACACTATAAGTACTACATTGTTTTGTCTGTATGTTTAATGAGTATCTGAACAAAGTTGCCCCATTGTTATAGCAGGGTGTACTCTTGCTCGGCTTCATACTTAACCTGCTACATTTATATAGTTTACAAAGTATTCAGTTTACAGAGTTCCTAGAAATCCTTTTCTCTCCAACAGAGCGTTTCTTGGCCCTAAAGATATCTTTCCATACCAACCGAACAAAGAGAAGTATGCAAAGCCCAACAAGAGGAAAGGCTTCAATGAAGGATTGTGGGAGATTGAGAATAACCCAAAAGTTGAGCTCACTGCACCCAAGGTACGTCTCTGATAACGGAAGTTTTCAGTGTGTATCTTCTGGACTGGTGCATTGGAATCAGGCTATACCAAAGTGATCCAAATGGTTAATTTGTGCAAATGATGTTTGGTTCGTGCTCAGTGCTGCAGGAAATGTTGCTTGTTTTGCTTCCGTTGGGAAAAACACATTTTTTTCACTAGGATGGCCAAAAAAAGCGATTTATTTATTTAAAAAAAAACATTAAAATAATTTAATGGTGATTTTGGGGGGGGGGGGGGGGGGTGTCAAACATGAGCATATGAACAGCCTACCGAAGACAGACAATTCATTATTTTAGAAATGTGGGCTGCACAAAATCAGTGCAAAGGCCTTAAATGGTCCCCGGTAATAATGCACAGTATAACTGGTATACATACCATTGATATGATATAAATTTAGCCACCAGTAGAGATTTTGACTCTACCGGTCAACCACGACAGCATGAATGTCATCAAGTGCTCGCTGCTGCATCAACTCTGGACGAAAGCAGCAGCGAGCACTTCGATTAGGGAGTACTCGTAAAGAAGACAGGGAAACGTCGGTTGTATAGACCTGGTTTGGGTTTACGATCTGTTGTTACGCAGAAAACGTCCTGAGTGAAATATGCTGGGCGACAGTGAAGTCTTATCTGCGTAAATGGCTCGTTAACGCTAATCCCGAAAACGGGCTTTCAAACTGTCTAGACATCTCCTGTGATTTAATTTAAACAGCTTTCCCTCCACAGTTTCAGCTTTTCTCCCGTTTATTATTAAAGCACAAGTCTGAAAGCAGCTCCTCTCTCTCGCTCTGCTAAGACTCGCAAGTCAGCTGATCAGAACACAGCTCAACCAAAAGGGAGAGAAAAGGGATAAACCTCCAACTTTATTTTACTGTTGTCGACAAAAAACGTAGCAAAGCATCATCTTACCTGCAGATATTCACTACTGAAGCAACACTTCTACGAGCAAAAGGGAAAACAGATTAAAAAAGTCAGGAAAGCAGACATAAATGTTATTAATTTTATAAGAATTTTTGTGAAAAATTATCATAACATAAAAATCGTTTGAAAGGTTTTGTATTTGAAATAAGTTCTAAATGTTCTCTGTTCTGCTGAAATTCATCTGGTTTGGTAGGATGTTTAAAATAAGTCATTTTGACACATAAACAGAAGAACAGATTTTTAGGCCATATCGGCCGTTCCTGGTCTCCGGGCCACACTTTGACCACACCGTATTTAATTTATCATGGTAATCAGAGTACAGTTAAGGCTAGTTCCTACTCATGTTGTAACTAAGAACTGGATTAAATGATTATAAACATGTCACACCGACTCACCCATGGAGAAAAGGGCTGAGTTCATGGAAACAAATGTTTATTTTTTTCTTTTGAAGCCGGTTCCTCCCGACTCTTTCACTGAAAAGGACTCAGACAGCAGTCCGGAAGGAGAAGAAGATGCAGCCGACAAAGGAGTGAAATCCAAAGTAAGCTTTTTCTTTTCTTCCTAAAAAGATCGTTCATCTGTAGATGTTTTCAGTCACTTCACTGCAGCGACTCTTCTGTTTTGCTTCCAGTGTTGTCACGTTCTTTATTTTTAGCTGCCTCCCAAAGCTTCTTTAATATGTGTGCCTCATAATGAATCTCATACCACTGCAGGCAGTAGTCTCCACGTTAGCAGTCCTTCTCTTCAGTGCAACAGCAGACTTGTATGCTAAGAGCAACAGAAGAATACACGCTAACCTTTCTCCCTTTCAAGACTCGTTCACCCCACCACACTGCATCCTATGCTGTGTCTTGGGTGCATTCAGGTTCCAGGAAGTGAGGCTGAGCAGGAGAATGAGAAAGAGGAGGAGGAGGAGGAGGAGGAGGAAGGGTCTCTGATGTCTGAGCAGGGTCCTCAGAACCAGGATGTACGTACTTTGCATGCTGGGATGCCTTAAAGTGGTGCAGGTCATCTTCCCTTCTTTTCATGGGAAAGCATGTGTCGTTTGGTCTTTTTTTGCTAATTGGTGGCTCATTTGTGATTGAGTCCAAATTTACTGCTTGTGGCCACATAGTTTTGTCGGTGCTCGTTAGTCGATTGGAGTGCTTAGTTTGGGTTTGCGGTTGTAATTCTGCTGGGATGAAAACAGAATTCTGTCTGAAACGGGGCTGAAGCATCCAACTGATTCATACTTCAGACGTAACTCAAACTGTGGCTCTATGAGAACTACAACAGAATGTTTTTCCGTACCTGGTTCGCCTTTCTGGGACCACCCTGCAGTTGTTCCCATTTCCTGCTTCTCTAATCATCTGCATGGTTCTGCTGTTAACATTGCTATTTTATTTCCTGTGTACTTCAGAGTCATACATGTATGAGATTCTTCTCAATATATCTGAAGTATTTTAACTCATAATTCTAGTTCCAGTTTGATCAGATTAATAGTTAATACAAAATGTTTCATGTTAATAGTAAAACACCTAATTATTTAAAATGAACTTTGATTAAAAATCATAGCTGAAAAGGCCCAATGGTAAGTATTAATTCTTTTTATCTGGAAAGTTTTTTTAAATTGTTATTCAAAAATATGTAATAAAAAAAGTAATGATGCACATTTATTTATCTGTTGTCTGAACTACTGCAGTTATACACCAGGGGGCGACATTATCCAAACTAAAAGAATGTCATTTTTCTGACCTGTCGTGTTGTTTTCTTGCTGCCATACTGATGATAATAATTGACAATATTATCATATTAAAGTCCTAACAGCTCAGAGTTTGTGAGAGCTGGTAAAATATCATTTTTAAAAATCCGTTATAGAGCTCTGCACCACAAGAATCAACAGATGTTTCCAGATCTAAGAGAGGAAGAAAGAAAAAGGTTGGTTTTAGTTTGAAATCTGTGTTAAGCTTGAATAATTTCAGGAAGTGTTTTTAAATGTTTATAATTTTGGGTTGTTCCTTTTTTTTCAGGGTGACACAGACCAGGAGAATGAAAAAGATGAGGCTCCAGCAAGTCCTGCTAGTCTCTCAGGTGGGCTTCATGTGCCAAAACATCTGTTATCAAAGGGCTCAGAATCACTCAGAAGGATGCATTATTACTATTTATCTAGTTATTTGTTTTTTAAAATATGGCATGTTGGTTGGTCAGCAGAAAATGAATCAGTTCATGGTGAGATAATGCGTTTTTTATCAGAGTGTCTCATTGTTTAACTGTATTTTCAACATTTCAGCGGTAAGTCTTTGTGTGTGTGTTTCATCAGGTGGAGATGGTCCTAAAAAACGAGGCCGGAAGCCCAAAAGTGACAACAAGTTGCAATCGGTTCAGCAGCAGGACCAGCAAGGCTCTGGGAGCGACATGTAATTATAGGAATTATTACTTAACTTGTTCTTTCAAGTTTGTGGAGTAAACCACAAATCTGTCTGACAATGATCCACGCTAACAGATTTATGATCCAACACCATCTCTGTTGTTGGCTTTGAAGGGATACCGTTGAATCTGACAAAAAGAGAAAGAGGGCACCAGATGAAAAGCAGCAAGTTGTGGAGGAGGAAAAGCGAAGGAAGAGAGAAGGAAGCAAAGGTAAGGAGACGGAGGCTAAAGAGCCTGAAGCCAAGAAGAAGAAACTGTCCAAGGATGACAGTTCGTCCGGCTCTGATGATGATGATGATGATGATGATGAGGCAAGTCTTTTATAATTTTTGAAACTCTTGTCAAGTCTCTATAATGCGGGCATATTTACATTATTTATGATTCCATTACTTTTGTTTCAGAAAAACAAAGTCAGGAAGAAAGTATCGAACTCAGAAGTGGACAAGGATGTCCGGCGGTGGAAAACGGATGAAGTGCGAGAGTAAGTTTACAGCCAGGATTCATGTTGTTTGTTTTTTGTTTTATTTGTAATATTCAAGGAAAAAACGATGTTGCTTTATTATGTCTTTGATCTGATATTTTAATTTGTTCATATTCCTGTTAGTCATCACGGATTTAAAGTTCACCCTTTTGTGTGAAGCTTACTTTAAATGCTCTAAAACTGCATGAAAAGTTAAGACTACCTGGCTGCTAAAGGGTAAAAGAAAAGCCTTGATTTGTTCAAATTTTACAGTTTTATACAGTGAAGGCAATTAAAATCTCTGCAGTAAAACAGGAGCTGCATATCTGTAGGAAACAACAATAGGGATGTTTCCATAGACAGACTAATGCTTTCGATGAAAACAGAATCATCTAAAGGGATTTTAATGTCTGCGTGGGTCAACTGCAGGAAATAAGGACTCTAAACGTGATTACATTTACTCAAACAGTAGTGTGACTCGAGGCAAACGTAACCAATAGAGGTGGTAGGTTTCTGAGCCAGTGTGGGGCTTCCTGTCTTTCAGACCTATCAAAGAGGATGTGAAGAAAACTGAGGCAGGACCAAAGAAAAAGGGTAAATACAAGCAGTGCTGTCATTTCAGTTTGGAAAATGTTTTCTGTGATTTTGCTTAGTTTTTATTATTTGTTTTATCTATTTATTTTTCAGAAGTGTCAACTGACCTAAAACTCCAGAAACTCCACACTGACATTAAAATCTCATTGAAAATCGATAACCCGGTAAGTTTTTAACAGGTCTGTAACAAATTATTGTAATAATAGAAGTTGATATATTTTTATCTCGTCTGGTTTTTCCTCCATTAACGAACTGAACTGAAAAAAATGTTTTTTTTGGAGTTAGCAACTCCACAACATGGCAGAAGTCCTCCAAGCTTTTATTTGTGGAGATGAAACATCAACGCCGCACAGCAAACTGAGTCAGTCGTAGCGTTTTGTCACTGTTAGCCAAACGGAGGAGAGCATGTCCAAATATCAGGAAATAAGACTCCAAAACCTGCCGTGTTCTGCCCCCCTCTCATCCGACTAACTTCTACCTCCTGAAACAGGAGTGCCAGAGCTTTTTTCCTTCAACAAATTGACTCAAGACATTCACTTATACTAGAAACCACTGCAAATGTATTGAAAAAACAAGTGAACTTGGTCTTCATACCACCATTAAAGAGCAAAACGCTTTATTTTATTTTTACTTTTGAAATTACCTTATTTTTTAATCAGTCATTAATTTATTTAAAAAAACTAAATAAATGAATAATGTATTTATTCAATTTGTCGTAAATAAAAAATATATTTCATTCTTGAAATTACTTAATCATGAATTGATTTTATTTTACCACAGTCTCTGGGTCATAACTCATGCTTTATGTTTATGTTTATTTATTTGGCTGACGTTTTTATCCAAAGCAACGTAAACATTTTTTACCTATAGGGCATGTTGTGATCTGTGGGGAAAACCGGGGTGGCCGGAGGAAGCCCATGCATGCATGGGGAAAACATGCAACTCCACGCAGAAAGGCTGCAGCCGAGTTTCGAACCTGCAACCTGCTTGCTGCTAGGCAACAGGGCTAATAACTGCACCGCCATGCAGTTTTATCTGCTAGGTTTAAAATGATCTCTCTCCAGCTGGCTAGAAGTCTCCCATAAAGGGAGTCGCCATGTTTGTAAGGAATCAATCTGGACCAGAACAATCGCCTTTATCAGCATCACTTCCTCCCACTGACTGAGCAAGGTTACCTGATCAGTTAAGCTCTTCATAAACAGCTCCACAGACCTTGAAACAACTAAATATGTGATTAAATAATATTAATTTTATCAATGAAATACATTTTTTATAAATGACGCACATAAAAAAATCTAATATTTAAAAATTATTTGTATGTTTCAGATTTTATTAATCTCACATGTAAAAATAACTTCTTGCGAGGAAATGATCTTTTTCCTGTTTTGAGAGCAAATC